TGGATATGCGTATCATTCGCTCTATTCATCGGCAGTGCCCATGCTAGAAGGTGGAAATGCTGGAAATTTCATGGCAGGTTCTCCAGTAACTGCCGGTGTTATCCGAGCCGATGGATTGACAATCCATTCTAGTGGTCATGATGGAGTACTTCCGACTCGAGCAGATCCTTGCATGGCCCGCTCTGCTAGTGTGCATGGATGCTCTGAGATGCAGAATCAGTCACTTTTGTCTTCCCAAGGCATTTCGTCCATCCTTGGACCTTATCTTACACTGAATTTTGACGTATTTGTGAAGTTATACCTAAAATTATCTTCATCGATACAAAATCAACGCTGGGAAGTCACTTATTTAAAGCACGGCCCTAAAGCGTTGACTTCCGATGCATTTGACACGAATTCTCATTACGTAGCTTTCAGTTAATCCTTTGTCTTCTGCGAACCATTCCGTATTTATCGCTGCTAGGTTGTGCGATTGATGCTAGCATCTTCTTTAGACTCTAATAATAGTTTGATATCTGAAACTAAGTGATAATGTAAACGACCGTATGCTTAGTTATGTCATCACAAATATAGATGGTGATATTCTTTACAAGTGCCTTGCTAACTATGCTGCAATGCATCTGATTTTGCTTTCTGGCTATGGTCTTAATATACAGAGGAAAAGTTCGATGGCTCTAATGATGCGGCCACCAATGTGTCTCGTGTCGTTTCGAGGAGGGACATGGCCACCCAGATGAGTCCAGAGGATAGTCCATGCTCCTCTCCCAGTATGAGGGCTTCTTTCTCTGTCTCCCCCACACCTGTGCTGCCCATCATAGATTTCCAGAGAGCCTCTTCTAATATGGATATCAGGGATGTGCAGATAGATGAACTTGTCACCATGACAAGGTGGTCCAACAAGCATAGAGCCCTATTCACTGGCAGAGGCTCGGAATATGTCGACAACTGGAAAAAGAAAGAAAGAAGTGCCCAGTCTTCAGCTTGGGATGTTTCTGAAACTGCAAAGGGTGCTTCAAAGTATGTCCACTTTGGTATTGTATAAATGCGGTTCAATCTTTTCAGGCATATGGATAATTAATTAAGGATCACTTCAGATTGACGCTACTCCAGTGTAGTTATTGGGTTGCACAACGATATTTTAAATAACTTGAATAGGTGCAATAGACTTTTGTGATAACCATTTGATGTTGATGAATGCTTCATGTTTTCTCTCTCTTTTTCGGCCTCTAAATGCTGGCTAATTTAACCGTCCAGGGTTAAGAGGGAGGAAGCTAGAATCACTGCTTGGGAGAACTTGCAGAAGGCAAAAGCTGAGGCAGCAATAAGGAAACTAGAGGTTTTTTCTTAATATTATTCTCTTTAATCCCCAGCTCTGCTGATTTTTCGTTGCAGCATTTCGGCAATCCCCCACCCCCCCGGTTGGGGGGGGGTTTCACAGGAGATCTAAACTTAGACGGAGCAACATGCTCACTACTATTTTCGTTATTTCAGATGAAGTTGGAGAAGAAAAGATCATCTTCTATGGATAGGATTATGAACAAGCTGAAATCGGCTCAGAAGAAAGCCCAGGAAATGAGAAGCTCAGTTTCCGACAACCAGGCCCATCAAGTTGGCAAAAATATCCACAGGGCTCTATCTTTCCGTAGACCAAGCCAGATGGGCTCTTTGAGTGGATGCTTCACCTGCCACGCCTTTTGATGCGTCATCCTCTACTGTTTATTCCATTGTACATGTGATGCTGGGTAAATTTCCATGTTCAACCTGATCCTAGCTTAGACAACACTCATTTTCATACCTTTGATACAATTGGTTTTAATTAATTTATTTATAGGTGTAAGCTGCTCAATCCGAGTTTTCTAAAAATTTGGAAAGTTTTGGTTTGTCAGTGTGCATCTGGAAAGTAAAATGATTTCATTGGCTGGTTGTATCCCACAGATACATGACATATTTTTTTCTTCCTGGAATCATCAAGAATCTTACAAAGCCCATAAACATTTTCTAGCAAGAGCTTCACCTAAACGTTCGATGGCCTTAAATGGCAAATTGTACTATTCATTATTATACCTCTGTACGCTGTTCTAACAGAAGATCTGATGCTTCTGTGACCAGGTTTCTGAAGAATTTAAAAGGATCATCTGCATCTGAAAGAATGTTGTGCTGAATAGAGCAGTCACTACTCTGACACTCACTTGGTGTTACTGCAGTTTTGAAGTTCATAACATCAGCACCTGATCTGGTATTCATCTCCGCTTTCCCAAGAAATCTATAATCTGCAGGTTGTCAAATCTAGACCATTGAATCAATTAATTTGTCATCTGAATTCATGACATCTGAGCAATCTAGATACTCTGTTGGATATATCAATATGTCTTGATCTTTTATGATGCACAGTTGAATATTTAGATTATTCACGTGTCATGATTTTAGTAGGTAGATGACGAATTATTTGATTCAAGGCTTGAATTTAGCGAACTTCAGCTGTGAGTGTCCTGAAGATCTAAATCCTCTCCGTGGAAAGCGCTAATGAAAGGCCAGGTTTCCTCATCCTTGAGAGTGACTAGTTAATAATATGTATTTACTCACGTCAATCTTTAGAAATAAGCTTCTTTTGTAAACTTCTCTGCCTCCAATCCTTGATGACTGTTCGTGGTCAAATGTAATCTAGCTACACTAGAAAATATTATGCACGCAGCTCTATTATTTATTCTTTCCTTCAATCTTGAGCCTGAATGCATCTTAATTGGAGATAACTGTTCATAAGGACCAAATGACAAGGGCAGTAGTTATTAGAGACGTCAAATTTGCGTAATTACCAGTGTTAGTGAGATTTTGCGGGTGTGCTAGAGATTTTAGGGATCATATCTATCTCGGACAACAACAACAAAAAAAGAAGGCTTCAAATGATTTTGGGTTCCTTAACAGACTTATAACAAAGAGAAATACTTTAATTTCGGATGAGTACGTGAGATGGGAATTCGAATCAGTAATGATAGTAGTTCTAGTGAAATATGATCTCCTTACATTACAAATTACAAACTAGATTTTATAACTGGAGGTATTAAAAAATACTACGGCTGAACACAAGTGATCAGAAAATAGGGAAAATGCAATGGACGATATGCAGGGTAGTTGGATTGAGTAATGATTGATAGTTGATGCTTCATTCTTCATGTTTATTGTTTAATGGTTGGTTGGAGGAGGCTTCTCAGGTCATAAACGGGCAAAGCCTGACCAAAGCTTTAATTTTAGGCAGCACATTTTTCACTTTGATCACTTTCCTTATTCTTACATTTCAAGCGTCGCTAGTGGACTACGGAGGTAGTGGCTCTGGCGTGATCTTCGACATAGTGACCAAAGCTTCTAGAACATTCATAATTTTTTTTATATATATACAATAGAACATTCATAATTATGATCATATTAATTATTTCAAAGCCTCTTAAATTGTCTTCGGTTTGGGCCTCTAAAACTACAAATTCAGTGCAACCAGCTGGTAAGACCCAAGGTATTAGGAATTAATTTATATTGTAAAATGAGGTCTTGTTTAATTTACAGGGAATATTATGTAATTCGCAAGAGGTCATGTGCAGAGTTTGAAATACTCGGATTAAAAAATTACACAAACGCTTTACATAATTTACAAAAAAATCTCAGTTTATAAAAGTATCACTTCATAATTTGTCTTCCAAGATTTATTGTACAAAGTTTGAAAGATCTGGATGCCCAAAAACAATTACAAAAGGTGTTTGTATAATCTTACTTTTACCAAAATTACGAAGTCTTCTCCTCTATTTATAAAGCTTATAATTTAGTTTAATTTTTTTCGTTGTTTGCAATGTTTGTTTAAAACCCTAAAATGTTTTTATATTAAATGAATTTTATACTGTAAAAATATAATTATTCATTTGCCCTTTGAAATTTGGTGATCTGCTTTCTCCCCCATTTTCTCGTTTAAACAAGTTTAAATAATTAAGTATAGTAATATTTAAATAAACCCTTATGGCTAACCGTCCTCGGCGTCGTTTTCGCATATATATAGCTGTGCACTGTGCTACCCGTAGCAAACTCATAATTCTAACAAGTTAGAGTGTATTTGGATTAACAGTGATAAAACTAACTTTTATCCTAAATGACTTTTGGAAACTTAAGTTAAAGTAAAAATCAGTTGATATAATTTGATTTATGTTTGGATTGATGTTTATAAAAAGTCAGTTAAAAAAACTAAAATTTATTTGGATAATTAATAAAAATTAAGTTTATATGTAAAATAACTGAAAAGGACATGAACTTTATTCAATTTTAATGTTTTATATTATATGATATTAATATGATAATTATTAAAAAATAATTAAAATTATAGTTGTAAAATAAAAATGTCTGTTAGTGAGAAAATTTTGAACATACTTAGAATATAATTAAATATATATAATTAATTTGAGAATATTAAGAAAGTTAAATAAATTATTTTGAAATATTTATGTTTATTTTTTTCCAAATTAATTTGCTTGACTTGTAAATTACTATGCAATCTAATAATATACATAAATATTTTAAAAAGATCATGTAACATAAAATATAATTAAGTAATTTATTTAACTTTCTTAATCTTTTCAAATTAGTCTGTTAAATCTTATATTAGAAGGCTAAAAGCATTCTCTCTCTGGCAAAAAAAATAAAAACATTTTATCATTCACTTGTGTGGACCACATTAGTTGTGGTGTAGAAGGCAAAAGTTTACTCTTTGGAGCGCTAGAAAAAAAGTCAGTTTATGGCATAAGTTCATTTTCATTCAACGGCAATCCAAACATCTGTAATTTTCAAATCTGTTCCTAACTTATGTTTCACATTTTCCAATGCGCGTTTACTCCTGGAATCCCCATACCAAACATGCTCTTAATAGGTAGTTTGTGCGATATCATGTATACTCGTATTTGGTCCATGATAGTGACGACTCATTGGGTCCCTCTGATGTGTGGTGGAATTGTGAAACATTGAAATTTACACATCTATAGCCAATTTGGTGTGGAACTTCGCCATTCATATCCAATCCGGTTTTATATTATTCAAAAGCAGAATAGTTTTATCAAACGATACAATATCTTATACAGTGTCAATCCGAATACTATGTAGAACTAGCCATTTATGAGGTCTTGTCCTATCAGATCTTATACCAGGTTTCATTGTATACGAGGTGCCTAACGGGTTGCCGATTCTTGTACTATACGAGTATATGTTAAGTCTTATCCTACGGATACCGCGTCCCAAATGGAGCGGAGAATGCAGATTTTAACACTACTCATCATGCAACATTACTCATCCTTGGCAGCCTGTGGATTCTGCAGTTTCGTTGATGCAGCTAGCGTACCCAATCGAGTAAGATTCACATAATCCTGAATAACGTGAGCTGATAATCCAGGAAATATCAACCCAATCAGCCTGAGTATTTTCATCAACCACGTTTCTCTGTAGTCCTCACCTTCAACGAACGGGATAATAAAACCTCTAACTAGCTCCCAAGCCGCATTTATGTTCTTGGGTATTGCCCACAACAAGGAGAAGTAGTTCTTGTTTGGCTCCTCCTCCAAAACCTGCATTTCAATATACAAAACCACAAAGCTCTCAATTCATAATCACAGCAAAGCCCAACACAGAAAAAGAACACAAACCAATTGATTCAGTTCATACCTGTCCTTGATAAAAGCTATTGAAGAAGACGCATGGACCAAAGTGCTTAAACAAGAGGGTTTTGTCATCGTAAGGGACCCTAGGCACGACGTCGTTGCCATAGACATACCTTACGTACTTCACATCGTACTTTTTCAACTTGTCCTTCATGAAGTCACCAAGCTGTTGGTCCCCAACTCTGGGCTGGCCAAACGTATAAACGCCTTCTAACTTATCCAGCAACCATGCCTCGTCGTGAAGTGTTAGAACAGTCGCAAAGAGAATGGCCAAAGCTCCTCCCAAACTGTGCCCTGTCACTATAAATTTTGCAGTCTCGTTTTTCTGCAGAATCTTTTTCAGATCTTTTCTTATTGTGTAGTATGCAAACTTCTTGTGTTCGGCCTCACTGGTTTCGTCTATCTCCTTGGGCCACCCACCATTCTTCTGGAGTCCCAAAGCCTTCATGAAGCCTCCATGGATTTTGCCCACTTTGGGAATCTCGTACCATGATATGTCCACATCTGTGATCCATTGGCCAGCATCAAATAGCCCAGTGCCCCGAAATGCAACTACGATCAAGTTGGGTTCAGACTTTGTGTCTTGGAACATGATTGCGCGGGTGGAGTCAGCTTGCTGGTATTCTGCACACCATTATTTTATTTTAGTTAAAGTGTAAAAAATTCCCCACTTGGATGTAAACTATATGCACCTTCCACCAACTGCAACAGCAGACAAAAAAATTGATAAACGAAACTCTCGGAAAAGTTAACAATTTGATTAAGTAACATTGTTTGTCTGCTACTTCATTGATAATAATCAATCATGTGCGGAACAAAATATTTTGGGGTATTAGAGAGTGACCAGGTGAAGTCTTTATCGATTCTCTAACATCATAGAACATTTACTTGGGAAAAAATCTATTTGTGAATGTCTCAAGTATAGGAAAGTATAAGTTCAAGGTTTAGAAAAAAAAAGGAAGAAAGAAAGAAAAGAAAGTATATTTAGATTTTTTTTGGGTGATAGAAATTATATTTAATTTGATCAAAATATATGTGGAAAGTATGCCTGCAGGTACCGTAATCTTGGGTATAATATTACTGCCAATAACAATGTTCCAAGAGGGAAATGACTCACCTTTAAAAACGAAGGGGCGGCCGAGAAAAAGTTGAGTAAAGAGTCAAATGGCCCACTTTTAGAGAAAAAGCAATTAATTAATAATATGGACACTTTAATTTCACCGATTTAATTTTGTTGTCATACAATAATAATATAACTATTTGTTTCAAAGAAAAGTAATAATTTATTTTGCATTACAGAATTTATGTAAAATATTATTTCTCCGATTTTAAATATAAAATCCACTTTATAATGTAAATTTTATATTATAAAATGAGTATTATATTTAGAAATAGAAGAAACGAAAGGACTAGTGGTGTTATTAACAAGTTTCCTGCGAGATTATTCTAGTTGGGTCAAATAAATACACTCAGGTAATTAAACGTAGGCGGGAATTATATGATGCCAATATATGAGTCAGCAGATCCTAAGAATTAACGCTCATTGCTAGCCAGCCTGAACTTTCCCTCTTCATTTGTTTTTTTTCCTTTTTCTTCAAAACGTGATTTAGGCTGTAAAAAGGAAAAGCGCATGCATATGGAATAAGAATCATCGTGATTTAAGTAACTCAGGTCGGCCCTTTTACTGTGATGCCGGCCAGGCTAGCTGCCACCTTGGAAAAGTAAAAATATATATTCTCAGAAAATCCAACTCAATCAAAGAGGTTATGTCTCGCCTATTAAGTGCTCACTAGATTCAGATCTATTTCGTGTCTTGAAAGAAAAAATTACTCAAGGTTTGCTTTATAATTACCGTTCCAGAAGTTGTAGAACCTCAAGGAATCCATCTGCAATAACAATCACAAAGAAAAATAAAATTAAAAAACAATACCCTGTTCGATCATTAGAGAAAGCAATAATGAAATACATGATGGGGTTTTTTTCCCTTGGCTAATATTATATAGCCCAGAGAGACAGTCATGATGAACAATAATGAGAGGAGGTAATGAAATGAACTTACATCCCAATAATCTGTGACAACAGTTTCAACGAGGTTTTGATTCTCGTAGGATAATTTAGAGGCCATCATAGACAGCAAGCCTTTGTACTTAGCATCCTCAGGTGTAATCCTCTTATCTAATTTCATTCGCGGGTCAAGGATTCCCGCCGCAGATTTGAATTTCGCCGATGATCTCTCCGGTAATCTTACCGCTCCTGCACATATCACACCACCAACATTAATCCACATCCACGCACATACATTGAGCCATGGAATAAGGAAGGTTTTTTAGTGAATAAATACTATATATATTTTGATCATGAGACGACGAACTAACCTCTGATAAAGTTGAACAAAAGCCTTATGAAGCCCCCATTGATCGAAACAAGGTTGAGCCATGTCTCTACCAGGGAGCCTGTTTTGGCAAGGGACCATTGGGAGGCGAGGAGGGCCATCTGAACCACGACGGAGGTGAAAAGGATCCATCGCCGTCGAAATTCTGTGTATTGGAGCTCTGCGGGGCAATCGATGAACTTTCTGTTTTCTAATTTAGAAGAAAAGAGGAGGCGAATGAGATCTATCACGCTCGCTTCTTCTGGCTTCAACAACAGGTAATCACCTTCAAAAGGTTGCTTGGAAGCCATAGGTGGCTTTAATCAATGAGGAATCTTATCTAACAAAAGATAATGATGGTGATGGAGATTTATATATATTAGGTGAGTTGTAGGGTCAACGTCTCAAATTTTGGACGAGGGTTTTCATTCGACCAAGTTTGTGTTGTCTATATGCAAGCTACCTAGTTAGGTCTTACCAGGTAAAACGTGAAATTTAATTTCCTTATCAACTGAACAAATCATCGTCAATTAAATAATGACTTGTATTATTCTCATATTTTCTTTCGCCAGCGGGGCCTATGCAACATAATAATAATACTGAACGATAATGTAATTATCAAGTTATAATTGCTTTAATGTTGAATTAATTTCTGTTACTTCTTTTATAATTAGTTACTACTATAAAACAATCATATAATTAAACAATGAGTTTCAGTTTATAATACTAAGCCCTAACTAGATTGAGAATAAGAGTTTTGTTATTAATAATTTATTAAGTTAAATGAATAGTGAAAGTTAAATTAGTAGTGATGGAACTAATCATCATTTAATACATATAATATACGATCATATATTTGCCAAAACACCTTTCTGGAATATTATCTTCTTCCAACTCATTCTTGTCCTTTCCTATTTTCGTCTCCTCATTTCTCTCCCCTATAGTTTTGCTTTTTTACCAGAAAAAAAAATATCACGATGAGGGCTTGTCATGATTATATCTTTCCGATAAGTTGATACGGACAATGGATTGTTGAGAATTCGCAAAAGTTTATTTCTACGCGTAGCGTGCAAAGGAATAATATTATTGCAAGCGATTGCATTATGCATATAATGAACGATTTTGAAATATTGGAAAAAAATTCTGTAATTGTGGAAGATGTTTATAATTTTTTATTTGTTACTCCCTTTGGTTCAAAATGTAAGATAAGCTTTATCTATTTTCATTTATTAAAAAATTGTTTAAAACAATAAATATGTAAGGCATGTAGTTTTTTCCCAAATATACCCGTATTAATGAAGTGAATAAATAAAAGATGTCATAAATAAATTAAAGAAGAAAGAGAATATATGTTAGAGGTAAAATTTAAAAAAAATAAATGATTAGATAAAAAGTGAAAGTTATCTTATAAAAAAATCAAGCCCCTCCAACAAAATTTATCTTATATTTTGAACCGCAGAGAGTACAGGATTAAAAGAACTCAATCCATTTTCATTATATGATTAATAATACTACATTCAGTCCTAATTATAAGACTCTATTTGTAGTACTATCTCTGATTCTAATTATAAGACCTCATTTGTAAACTATAAACAAAGTATTATAATTAGGAGCAGAGGTAGTATATAATGTACATGTAAATTAGAAGTTGAAGGAAATAATAATCCGGGCCAAGCTAGCGAAACGCGGGCACATAATTAATTATTAAGTAGAAAGTCAATGTTAATTTCTTCTAAGCGGTGTTTGGCTTGTATTCTATGCCTTAGATTCCTCCATATGCAAATGGCCTATTACAATTTTTAAAGTCGAACTTTGCTGGATTCTTGTCCCCTTTTGCAGTAGAGAAGCTTCTTTTTTCAAAAAAATAAAACCAAAATAACGAAAGCTGAGGATGGACCAGGTACATACGTTTATGCATACTCGATTTGAAAATCAATAATAAAAAGAGCGAAAGCAAGGGAGGGAACATGAGAGAGTAAAGGTTAATTATTCAGCATTGATCAGCCACTTGATTTGAAAGTCATATGTGGGATGCTTGAACGAAGGTGGCCGGGGAGCCTAAAATATTAAGGTTCAGATTGTATATCCCAATAATTAAATCTCGCGCTGATTGTCAGACTTGTTAAGACAGTTACATTTGATTAATGTTGGGTTATGTCAAATCATTGTTCCAATTCTAAGCCGCCACGCGTACGGAGTATATAATATAATAACCACTGTACCAATGAGAGAAAGTCTTGATCCGAATCTCATCTTTATCTGATCTGGCTGTTTTTTGTTACACGTATGTTTTTTTGTTAGGCGTGAGGAGCATTAACGTGCGTAGCTTTAATTAGGGTCAAAAACTAATCATCCCAATAACAAGAATTCAAACAAGCTAATAGAAGAGTGACCATAGACGTCACGCCCCAGTTTTCGTCGCTGAACAGACCACCGAAGAATGCATTAACTTCGAGGAAAATGTGTTTTAAGGGATTTCCAGGAATTTCTACTTCACTTGTATGGTCTGGACTCTTATAATTCGTAACTCTGCAATAACGTCATTTATCCCTAATTTCCAAATAAAAAAATATATGTGATTCGAGATGAGCAAGAATCAGAAAGATAAAGGGTTTAAGGTGGCCTCTTATTTATTTATTTATTGCAATCTTAAATCTTAAATTTTCGTAACTCCTAAAGTTGAGAAGTCGAGAATGAAAGGCTTAGTGTAAATAACACGTATGACTACAAAATTATTTCCCATGAGCCTATTAAAACAATCAGGTCATACTCGTACCCTTATCAACCAGATCAAGTTCTAACTGCGCAACGAGTTTTTAATTTCCCTGACTTTCATATGTAGATTTCTTCTGTGTTTCATACTCAGCTTCACGTAAATTCTAAACCTCGATTCCATGGAAAATGAGAAAAGAAAAATATTTTTTTAGCTGAATATATTATGTAATTGATGGACAAAATTTTAAGTTGAGCTGCTGTTCTTTCGAATTGAACGGATTTTCATGAAGTAAATGATTATTGACGCAGAGAAAGAAACAGATCTTCAGTATTGGCTAGGGTCGTTGCCAAATAGCCTAGCCCAGAATATAATTTATTCATTTTTTTAATTACGTAAAATCGAATTGCAATTAAAAGGAATTCATCATTGACATCACATATATAGTTGTTGGAATGCACTCACCATTATCTTTGTATAAATTAATAATCAGAACATTAATATTATTTTGCATTCTAAATGATTCAAGATAAAAACATAAATTTAAAAAATTAATAAGACAATATTGGAATTTCTCAATTTACATATAAACAATCTATACATGATTTACAGGCAATACTCATTTTAAATATATGCATCGAATCCAAATTGACACGCACAGATGGAGTTGAAGCCAAGTCATTTTTAACCCCTGTAATACTCATACATGTGCAAAACTAAATCTTTAATATTTCAGGCATGTCTGCACTATATGAAATTTAAATGTTATATTGCCTTGGAATGAAATTTGAAGAAAACTTTGAATAAAACAAAAAATGAAATTTGAAGAAAGAACAAATCCAATCCACCTAATTTAAGGCAGCCTTGTTCTTGCATCATTTCCCGGCTGATATACGAAAAAGAGGGTCACAATGAAACGACAGGTTCCGTTACCTTTGAAGAAATTAATTTTCGCTCTTCCTGTTACTGGCTGATGAGGTGAAAATAATAAAACAATAATTAAGGGGACGTAGTGTGTTGATTTAACATTCTTATTATCTTTAACAGTTTTGTCATCTCCGGGTAATTACGTTGCGTGAACCAGTCCTCTTTTTCATTCCTTGTTGGAATATTAGTGATCAAAATAGTAATCTGATTTAGTTTGTGGTGAATATAGAGTAGGAATAGGTCACATGATATAGGTTTTCGTTGAAGCAAAGCAATTGATACTTTATCTTCCTTGTCCTGACACTAACTTTCAGGGGAAAAAATAAAATGAGATGTGATTTATTATATCGCTGATTTAACAGTTTTATTATCTTTCAAAGATTGGGCGGTGGGGATTTGTGGAGATGGACATATAAATGTGAAGGAAATCAACATCACAAAATGATAATTTAGTGAGGATGTATATGGAGACGAAAGAGGTCGCAAGTGATAGGTTTCACTAGTGCAATTGACACAGTTTCTTTCTTATTATCTCGTTATACTTGTTAAGTTGAAAAAACATCCCCCGTGTGTTGATTAACAATGTTTTGTCTTGTGGAAAATAGATGTATGGAGACGAAAGACATGACATATGATAGGTTTTGCCGGTGCTGTAACATTCCATTTTTTGTTTTTTTATCTTATTGTAGGATTTAGGTTATATGGTTGAGATTAATTCATAATATTTAATATTAAAGTTTATTGAATAAATTGTAAATCATAATTTCTGTGATATACATATAAATTATATAAATAAAAAATAAATAAATAAAAATTATATTAAAAAATTATTATTTTTATAAAATATATATATAAAATAAAAAGACAAGGGGGTGGCACGTGGGCCACCCACTGCCAGTGGGAAGGAGGGGGGTAAGACCCTGTTGGGCCGTGGCCTTCTTTTAATTAAAAAAAAATTGCATTTCAAGTGGGGTCACGTGTACCCCCACTTTCAAATGCTTCCCCCCTCCCCTTTCTGCTTCGTGTCGTATTCCTCTGGTCCGTGTCCTCGCCTCTGCCGCGATAGGGAGTGAGTGTCAGAGGTAGTTTGAGTGTGTGAGAAAGGAAGGACTCTACTTGGATACATATAAGATATTTAGGTAAGCTATTTTCATCCTACTATTTTTATTTAGTTTTTTCTTTTTCATTTCTGTAAGTTTATGGCTGAAAATAAAGCCTATTAGGGCTTGTTAGATTTTTAATTCTTAAGGTTTCTAACTTATTTTGATGATATTAATGGAGCTTATGGGATTAGAATAGAAGCCTTATGACTTAGATTTTTAGTTGGATGATTGATTTGAGACAATATAAGTTAGGGTTTGGTTGGAAAATTATGATTTGTGTTAATGATGATATTAAATTCAAAATTTATCTCTTAGTTGAGTTCATTTAAGGTTATATTGAGGATCCAATGCTTAAACTTTGAGAATTGTTGTTGAAATAGTAATGTTGATGATTCTTAGAGAGACTTTAACTAGTGGACGTTGGGTGTTTGGAGGAAATTGAGGAGAATATTATAAGTTATTGATTCTAATGAATGGGAAATGATTAATGGAGGAAGGGAATAGGATTTTAATAATGATTGAAGGCATAGTTGACATATGGTTATTTTTCTAAGAGTTAGAGTAAGCA